CACGCAGCCAAGCCCATCTCCACCATCAGGAGCTCTGGTGAATACCGGCTGGCCCTTAGATTCCACATCCTGGGGGACCCCATGCCACCTACTCAGCATTGCAGCACCCTGCCTTGTATTTGAACTTCCAGCTTTAGCTGTATTCCACTGCCTCATTCAGTTCCCCTGCTCGTACTCCACCTCTGGAGTCGTCAGCCTACACTGCTTGGACCGTTTTCTCTAAGTGTCCCTGCCAGTGTAGTAGAAAGGGTCCACATACCTGACTCCAGTTCATACCTGTGAGTAAAGGAGAACTATGAGGTGAGTGAAAAACACTCACCTCATAGTTCTCCTTTAATCTATAGGCCTGATGTGTGACAGCTGCAGTGTCACACGGCGGCTCTAATTATGGGGATGCGCATATTTTACTCTCCCCATAATTCTCCTTCAATCCATCTCCTTTTACTTCCTGGAACTCTGACACATGTGACTAGGACATGTGACCATGCACATCATCTCATGGGAAAAATGCCTTTCTCCGAGATCTCAGATTTTGCAGGTTACAAATGAGATTTCCAAGCAATGCACTGCTGATGTAACCTTCCCAGGATGCATCTCTTAGGCATGGGCTGCATCACTAATGCCTAAATATGTTTATTTAACAAATGAATGTAAGATAATTTCATATCAGCATGGAGAGCTAAATGTTGATGTGATTTTTTAGTGAAAGAAGGTAAAGGTCCACTTTAAAGTAACACTGTACCCTTTTTTAAGTTACACCTAGTTTTTACCACAGTACATGTCACTTTCATATCACCTAGGTCAGCGGTGGCGAACCTATGGCACGCGTGCCAGAGTGGGCACGTGGGGCCCCCTCTGCTGGCACGCGAGCCCAGTTCCGCATTACCAAAGGGACGCAGCGATAGCGGTCCCAGTCCAATTAATATTGTTATGCAGTAGTTCCCTCTCTCCCCCGCTGAACTGACAGCAGAAGAGAGGGGACTATTTTACCATTTTCGGCTGCCGCGGAGGAACACGGAGAGCTGCGGCAGCCGACAATTAAGTATTCAAAGCCTGTATTAATGAATAGAAAGCCTGCCGTGATTGACTCAGCGGAAGACGGAGGACACAGCGGGGATCGTGGACAAGGTAAGAGACTGTATTCCCGATTGTGGCTCGGGGTTACTGCTTATGGTACTGAAAATTAACCCCGAGCCACACTCGGGAATACCGCCATGGATGTTAGTGGGTGCATTTAAACATTATTTTGGGCTATACTCGTCTTATATGACGAGTATAGCCCAAAACCTATATTTTTTACACAAAAAGTGGGGGGTCGTCTTATACGCCGTCAAATACGGTAATAACTAATAGTAATTTCTGTCCCGGCTGCAGTATTAATCTACCCCAAGGATAATTTATTATTGCTGCGGGTAAGGGGGTGATTATTATTGCTGCATGGGGTTTTTTTTTTAAATTAACTCCTGCCTAAAAACAATTCTCCCCCAGGCAGCGATAATAATTGCCCCCCTTCTCCGCAGCAATAATAAATTATTATTGCTGCGGGGAAGACTAGGTTTCTAGTTATGCCTCTGCTGTGTAGTGCTGACTTTCATTATAATGTATTGCTGGGACTTGTAGTCCCGCATAGCTGGTGGTATTCTGCATTGCTGTATGATAATTATACAGCAATGCAGAATAGCCACACAGAGAGCCCATATAAACCACCTGAAAGCCCTTATAGACCACCCGAGAGCCACACTGCCCCCCTGAGAGCCTGCACAGCCCCCCAGAGAGCCCAAACAGACCACCTTAGAGCCCACCTGAAAACCCTTATAGCCCCCTAGAGAGCCGCACAGCCCCCCAGAGAGCCCATACATACCACCAGAGGGACCACAGAGCCCACCCAAAAGCCATATTAGACCGTCTGAGAGCTGCACAGCTCCCCTGAGAGCCTGTACAGACCACCAGAAACCCCACAGAGCCCACTTGAGAGCCGCACAGCCCCCTGAGAGCCCGTACAGATCACCTCAGAACTGCAGAGCCCCCCTGAGAGTATTCAGGTCTAATTGAAGGGTTGGCACTTTGAGATACATAAGTTGGTTAAGTGATCCAGTTTGGGCACTCAAAAAGGTTCGCCATCACTGACCTAGGTTGACATCTCTGAAAGTACAGGTGATTTTTGTTTTCTCCTAGTGGCAGATCAAAGCAGCAGGGGAACTGTGAATGTGCTGCTGGGAGCATTGAAGGGTTTTCTCCGAGCTTCTGATCGAAGCAGCAGGGGAACTGTGAATGTGCTGCTGGGGGGGGATTAAAGGGTTAATGTTCTCATACACTACACTGATATGAAGAAATGTATACATCCAAGCCCTGGTAGCAGTCTAAACCTCTTTCCCCAGTAATTACAACTGTTCTTTTTTTTCCTGACTAGGATTACAAATGGATATGGAGGCTGGAATTTCCGAATATTTACATTCTGCACACTTCTTTCTCATCTCTTTGTGCCTTTTTTTCCCCTACTTTTCCTTGACTGCTTTGGTGTATAAGTGGGGGGAGAAATTATCTGTCCATTTCCCATCTTTTGTAATAGGATCCTACATTTACATACTGTTTCTCCATAACAAAGCTCTTATTATCTCTATATGGTGTCTTATATGGGCTTTACGGTTTCTTATTTATATGATAATTCTTCTTATTTTTTTATATCATAATCCTTTTTATTACTTTTTTTCTCTTGATACTTCACAGTTCTGCATTGCTCATAGCTGTCTTCTCTTACCTCCTAATTCCAACCGTGTTAATGGTTTAATCTGCAGTCTTCTTTATCTTAATATGTTTTTTTTAAGTAGAACTCCATCCAAATATATAAAATAAAAATGAATATTCCATTAAAAGATAAAATAACAAAACCAGCTTTTGCTGCAATATTTACTTTTCATCTGGGGATTTCCCCCACAGTTTTCTTTTCTGGCACTAGATGTCAATAGTCTGAAGGCCAGCATCATTCAACCCACTGATCTCAGGCCACCCTGCCTACTACTGGATAGTAAAAGGAGAAGTGGCACAGTGAGGAGCTCATCTCTCTGTCACTGTGCTTTCTCTTCCTATCAGCATGCTTCTTGTCTGCACATGAACTGATTGGCTCCATCTACTTCTTCCTCTTAAACTCCAGCCCTGCTGTACAGAGACTGCAAGAGGCTGATACTAAGTCAAATTCAGGTACTTATACTGCTTGCATCTAACAAAAGTTAATATAACGATTACAGAGATGCATTTATTTTAGTCTTTTATATACTTACAGTTTTGCTTAAATTATTTTCTCGTCCATTCACTTCTGTGTTTTTTAATACAATATTTGAAGTCTTGGCAAGATGATTTTCTTTGTATTGTGTTCAGCTATACCTATAGAATATGCATCCAATCTTTTGCAATTTCTCATAAAATGTGGGATCAGCTTTAGTTATGATAGGGATCCTTAGCCCTTATGGTACAATTTGAAATTCTGTATACGCATCTAAGGTGCTTTTGCACCATCAAACCCTATACGCTGTCAACATGCAGAGTGATCACATACGCTTTAATACCTAATCTGCCCTCCTCTCCCCCAACCCTCTACAGTACATCAATTAAAGGAGAACTATGAGGTGAGTGATTTTCACTCAGCTTCATAGTTCTAGCCAACCTGTGACAATGAAACTGTCACACGTCGGCTCAATAGATCGGGAAGTAAGCGAACACATACCGGCGCTCGCTTACTTCTCGATCCTGTGCCAGCAGAGAGCCGTGACAGGGGAGGGGCTGGATTCCCCCCTCCCCTGTCCGATCCTCCAGCGCTGACTGGCAGAACGGACAGGGGAGGGGTACAGCTGGCTCTGCCTCACTCACGCAGCTGGGTGGATCCAGACATAATTGTCGGGATCCGTTCCGGCTGCGGCGTCTCAGTATACCGCGAGCGGTATACTGAGCTTTGAGTGATGGGAGGACGCTAGTTTGTGTCACAGCTTAGAGCAGGGATAGGCAACCTTGACACTTCAGCTGTGGTGAAACAAAAAATCATATCACGCATCTTGCCCCTGGGAGGTATGCCCGCGGCTGTCAGTCTTACAATGCTTCATGGGTCTTGTAGTTCCACAACAGCTGGAGTGTGCAAGATTATCTACCCCTGGTTTATAGGTGCAGATCAGTGCAAAGAGGAAGCTATAAGGCAATTAGAGCCATTTCATATGTAGGTGTTGTGGTAATGTGCATTACTGCAATGTTTTGTGTGATGCGTTTCCATTCACTGTGAATGGCACCCTAACATACTGTACAGTAGCTGCCAATGCACATCACATGGCAGGCTACCACAACACACATACCGTGTATTGTGGTGCACTTCAGTGAGTTGCCAAAATACGTGAATGCACATTAATATGTCTAATGAGGTACATTACCAGCCCAATCCTAAAGATTAGACTTTTGCAAATGCAAGCATGGCAGTGCCCTCCCTCCATATATATTACTAGGTCTAGTGGCCGGCTTTGTTGTGAGACCATTCTAATTTAATACATTCTTAAATTACCCCTGGATATTTTTAACATATGAGTGTATGGCAGAGAGCAGGCACAGCAATATAGCTGGTTGTTCTTCCTTAACTGCTTCCAGGCACAACAATCCTTCCTCTTAAACCGGAGGCACAATCCTTCTCCACCCATGCCAGGGTGCAAGTCAAGAGCACATCAGCCCTGGGGTGAGCATCATTCCCAGAGTTGTGCTATCAATGTTTGACACATTGGTGTTGGGTAGGGCAAGACAGTAACAAAGGGGATTCTGCAATCTTCTGGCATGGCGCAGAGAGCATGCGCCCCAAGTTTCAGTGGTCATAGCATTTTGAGGTGCACACAATTGAGTGTAGGCTTATAATTAAACTTAGGTTAAATTAGTAATGTCTGTTTATTTTGGAGATTTTCTTTAATAGATTTTGGGTTAGAATTATATTTTTCAAACAAAGAAAAAGTGAGACTTTTTATGTTTTATGATTTTTAATTGATTTTATGCATGCATGTTATCTGCATGAATGAGGTTATAAGTGGATTGCTGGCTTTCTCCTCATCTGTTAGAGCTGCATTACCAGGTCTCATTACTACAGCCACATTCACTCCCGCTTCCTCTGCAGCTTTCGCCTCTGTGGAAACAAAGAGTATGCAGAGATGACAAGCTAAATTCATATCAAAACCTTACATATGTATCATACATTATTTTATACTAGAAGCTAATATAATTCAATACAATGCACTTTATTTAATAAATGCAAATTGCAACATATAAAATACAGCAGAGCATCTTTTACGGTTTTATTTTAACAGTTAAATGAAACTGGCTGTTATGGGTTACTGTACTGCACTCAACCCTTACTAAGTAAAAACCATTCATGACAAAAGAAATACAGTGTTCAGCATAAATGAGTACACTCCTTTAAACAATAAGATTATAATCAGTATCTCAGTGAACACAAAAACAATTTCCAAAATTTTGACAAAACCGAGTTCTATAGAACATTTGTTTTAGCTCATTACATGAAAGTAAGGTTAATAATATAATTCAGATTACAGAATCTTCAGTTTTACTCAAATTAGGTGAAGCCAGTGGCGGAACTACCAGGGTCGCAGAGGTCGCGGCCGCGACCGGGCCCTGGAGTTCCGCCACATGGAGGGGGCCCAGGACAGGAGGAAGGGGCCCCTGGTGACAGCTGATTACCAGTCCCGGGACCTCTTCCTCCTGTCCTGGGCCATACATACTTCACGCTGCTCCCCTCACCTTGTTCCCGGGCGCAGCGTGAAGCATCATCCAGCCGGGCAGCAGCCAATGAGGGGGAGCGGTGTAATCCCCGCCCCCTCATCACACAGAACTGCTGCCCAGTGCCGAATAGAGCTGCTGCGGATACGAAGGGGGAGACAAGGAGCTGGAAGTATGAAGGAAGGTGACATGGGGTCCGGGAGCGGAAAGCTGGGGACATGAAGGGGGAGATAATGGGGAGCTGGGGACATGAAAGAGGAGAGTGCTTTTTTTCCCCTTGTCTAAATGTCTAAATTTTGTTATAAAAAAAAAAATCTAATTTGTTTCCTATTGGGGGGGGCCTTCATGGATTCTTGCATCGGGGCCCTGAGGTCACTAGTTACGCCACTGGGTGAAGCAAAAATTAATACACCCCACAACAGAAACTACTTCATCTATTATTTTGTGTGACCTCCATGATTTGTAGGGACTGCACCAAGTCTTCTAGGCATGGAATGAACAAGTTGGAGACATATTGCAACATCAATCTTTTCCCATTCTTTGAGAACGACCTCTTTTAGAGCCTGGATGCTTGTCTCTTCAGAATTCCCCATAGGTGTTCAATTGGGTTCAGATCAGGAGACATACTTGGCCACTGAATAACTTTCACCACCATGCATTTTTATTTGTACACCTCAACCTTTGCAACGCCATACAGTTTTGAAGCCATCAGTTCCAAAAACATTGATGGTCTCATCACTCCAGAGTTCAGAGTCCCAGTAGTCTTCTTTTTCAGCATGGGCCCTGGTAAATTGTAGTTAGGCTTCCCTAATTATAATATATCCTTATATTACATTTTAGCTCTTAGGTTTACATACACTTTATTACTATTAGTATTTTATTGAAAAGTAAAAATCACAACCTAATTAGCTCCACATGCAGAGGGTATATGGAAATGCATCATCTGTCGAATGGCAGGAGGCGAAAAGGGAAAATAATGAGAACTGAACATAAACATTTAGTTACTACATATAGAAGTAGTATGTCCAAGTCTAATGCAAAAAACTAAAACTTCAAACCCAAATGAGTACCAATGTGCCAGATTTTATTAAAACAATCCCTTGGATCTGTTCTTATTGCTTCAAAATAATCTCCTGAGAAATCAGGCAAGACAAGTCAGGTAACTTTATACTATTGTGTTATTCTATGCATGCATTTACTGCAATCCAAACTGGATTTACATGTGGCTTTTAATGTTCCTCTATTCATCAATTTAAAAAAAAATACCTGGCCCTTAGTTCTTCTGGAGCTTATGGTGTCAGAAAGTCACTTTAGGTTCCCAAAGAAAGTTCTCATCTGTGAAGCTTTATTACATACACAGCAAAGGCACAAAAATAGGTGTGGAACATTTACACAAACATATCCCTTGCCAGATTACATTTACACTGAGAAAGGAGTTATGTAATCTACCAAGTCATTCTCCAAGGATTACCAGCTTTTATAATCAACTCCCAATTAAAATAAGCATATGTTCCTCTCAAAAATATTGGAAACAACAAATCGGCTTAGGTGTGACAACGTTTTAATGTGTGTGTTTTTTTTAAAAAGCACAACTATATTGATTATATAAATAAAAGAACGGGATTTCAACTTATATGCATTGTGAATTCCAGCAATCATTGCAATGAACTGCATCAACCAGTGTGTTGGATTGGACTGTGATATTTATTCCCAAACAGTAAAATAGAATCATGTGCAACTCCAACTAACTTTTGGAGTTGAGAAGTCAGGTGAGGTCTGTTCCCATAGCTAGGATGGCAGGTCAGGCGCGTTCTGTACCCCATAGCTAGGATGGCAGGTCAGGTGAGGTCTGCACCCCATATCTGGGACGCGAGGTCAGGTGAGTTCTGTACACCATAGATGGCAGGGAGGTCAGGTGAGCTCTGTACCCCATAGCTAGGATTGGAGGTCAGCTAAACTCTGTACCCCATAGCTGGCATGGGAGGTCAGGAGAGCTCTGTACCTCATAGCTGGCATGGGAGGTCAGGAGAGCTCTGTACCCCATAGCTGGGATTGGAGATCAGGTGAGCTCTGTATCCCATAACTGAGATGAGAAGTCAGGTGAGGTCTGTACACAGAGCTGAGAAGTCAGGCGATACCCCCACAGCTAGGATTGATGGTCAGCTCAGTGGCGGATCCAGGGGTGTCATGGAAAATAGCAGGTGTGGCCCGTGTACTACCAGTGTGCCCAGGGATTGGCCCAGAGTTCTCTTGCACCGAGGACCGGGATACTGGACCCAGCACCAGTCCTCTATAGATGATGATATTCTACATTGCTGTATAATGTATTGCTGAGATTTGTAGTCCTCTATTGCTGGTGCCATTCTACATTGCTATATAATGTATTGCTGAATTGTGTAGACCTCTATAGCTGACGGTAATAATATGCATTTGATTGCATTGGGATTTGTAGTCCTATATAGTTGATGGTATTATTCTGCATTGCTGTATAATGTATTGCTGGGATTTGTAGTTCTCTATAGCTGGTGGTATTGTGCATTGCTGTATAATGTATTGCTGGGATTTGTAGTTCTCTATACAATGGCAGAACTACCAGGGTGACACAGTTGCAGCTGCGACTGGGCCCTAGCATTCCGCCACGTGGGGGGGGGAGGCAGACAGGAGGAAGGGAGCCCTGGTAACAGCGGACATTGCAGGTTACTTGGCCCCTCTTCCTTCACACTGTGCCTGGGCCATGTGTATCACAAAGCTCAAAAGCAGTAATGGGGATACTTGTTTAACTGACAAAGGCAAAGATGGAATTTCCTACACTGTGGCACAATTTTTGTGTGGAACCAGTGGTCTCTCTGCAGAGGGTCTAGCTTTTAGGTCTGGATCCTAGAAAGAAATGTGAAAGGCTACAATTGGCATTTATAGTGCCTATGAAGAGTATTTACCCCTTAGAAGTTTTCATGTATTGTCACAGAATCAACCTATTCATGCACAGTGGATTTTTTTGTACATTGATCAATAAAAATAGATTACTTCATATCAAAATGAAAATAGATATCTGCAAAGTGATTTAAATTAATTACAAAGAAATAAATACAAAAGAACTGATTGCATTCATATACACCCTCATAAGGTCAGTATTAAAGTGTATGTCTGGGCAAAATACAAAAAATATATATATTTAAGGGTATCTGACCTATGTATTGCCCCTGTTTTGTAACTGTGTTTTGTATTTATTTTGTAAAGCACTGCACAAACTGTTGGTGCTATAAAAAAAAATTCTGTACTACAATCTTTTTTTTTTTTTTTTGAAGACCTGTGAACCACTCACCACTCTAAAGCTTCATTCACACCTACACTTTAGGTGAGATTTGGTATTCCTACAGCAGAAACTTGTGAGAGTGACCACATTTGAAAGCACCATTACGCTGTCACTCTGCTGCAATCGTATCTGATGTGAATTCATGCGGTTAGGAATAGATCACTTTCCCTGGACACATTGATCGTGCATCCAGGGATAGTGATCTATTCCTAACTATTCCATTCTGCAGCTTTCAAATGCAGCCCGTCTGATCATTGACTTGAACGGGTGACAGCTGCCGCTTCTAAACTTCATATTTGGGATTCCTGCTGCAGGAATTCACAAGTTCCTGATGCATTTGGAATGTATTTGGAATACTAAAACACACCTAAAATGTACATGTAAATGAAGCCTTAGTCTTAATAGTATGCACCCAATAAAGCCATAACTCCTCATTTACATTCTTGTTCTGGGTCAGTGAACCAAAAATTATAGACAACCAAGCAACTAGCATTTTATGAAAGAAGTCAGTAAAGGTACCCTTAACACTTCTCTCAGTACAGAATTCCCAGACGAAGAATAAAACCGTAGATTTCTGTCTGCAATAGCTAAGTTAATGATCACAGAACTTCAAGTTCAAGTTAATGATCACAGAACGTCTCTAAATCAGTATACATTAAACATTTGTAAATGTCACACATATTGACAAATGGTACAGTTTACACTTTATGTTTCTTCATTACCAAGAAAAGAATAGCTTTCATTTCACCCCATGAACTAAAAGGATAAAGTAACAAAATCTCTTATGACTGAATGCTGACACCCAGTGGGCACTTTTCTAACTTCTTTAAGCAACTAATTCACACAGAACCAGATCAACTATTTAGTGGCCATTCACCTTCTTAATACTATGTAATAACAACTCTGGCCTACATTATCTCTTTCTTTCACTCACTGCCTTAGCTGCTAATAAAAAGTGTTTTTTTTTTACTACTTTACTTGACCACTGACATGACCGCAGGGCATGAAACCTCTGCTGAATGGCACCCGGAGGACCTAATAGGCAAGCATTAAAAGGAACCTGACATGGTCAAAATGTTTCTAAGGAAACAACGGTACTGAACTCCTGGGACCTTGTGATTCCTTCATGTACCTATGCTGATCTTCCAACTGATACTTGTGGAGTCCTCCTGAGGCCAGGCTGTACATGACACCTTGATAAATGATGAAACTACACCCACCCTTGCGTTAAGCCATACTGTCAAATGCAAGAACTTCAATGGGCCGTAGAGGCTCTGGCATTTGATATGTTCAGAGCTTAGTAGCATGAAGGGGTGGGAACTAACCATGCAGACGTTGAGGCTGCACTGGGATAGGTTTAAGAAAATTAAGTTAAAGTGTATTTCCACTTTTGCAGCCGAATTGGGATAACACCTACTCTACCATTTGTTAAATGTTCACATTCACATAGTATAAGCTTAAAAATAAAAAGTAAAAAATGCTTCTTGCAGTTTAATGTGCTTTTTACTTGCTAAAATGTCTCCTTCTTTGTAATGTTTGTAGGGGCTGTGAGGGGTTTGCTCATTATAGCTTGTAAAGTAGATTTGAACACTGCCTGTCCCAACAAAGGATTTCTGCATTGTATGTTAATGAGAGAAACTCATTCCAATCAAGGTCCAGGTTGCTCTTGCTTAGGCTCCGCCCACCCCCATATTTAGGCCCCATCCATTGATTAGGTTTCGTCCCTGCATTCCCCAGTGTCTTCAGCAGGAGCTGGAGTCCTGCCCTGAGGTAAGCTGCAAGGGATGAGCAGCTTAGAAGAAAGGGGGAGCACAGTGTAAGATGAAGTATTGAAAAGAGTGCAGAATTTAATAGTGTTGGAAAAGGGTGGCAGCCTGCTGTCCTCTTCTAACACTGTTAACTTCTTCACCCTCTGCATCCCTCTTCCTACACTGCTCACCTCTGCACCCCCTGCCACAAGTAGTGCAAAATGTGAGCAGAATAGGAAGAGAGATGCAGAGGTGAGGAGAGTGGATGCAGAGGGTGCAGGGTTGAGCAGAATAAGAAGAGGGGTTTCAGTGGTGAGCAGTGTAGGAAGAGGGATGCAGGGGGTACATAGGTGAACCGAGTAGAAGGAGAGATGCAGGGGGTGCAGAGGTGAGCAAAAAAAAGAGGGGTGCAGTGGTGAGCAGAATAGGAAGAGGGGTGCAGAGGTGAGCAGTGTCGCGTCGGGAGAGGGATGCAGGGGACACAGAAGTGAGCAGATTAGGAAGAGGGGTGCAGAGGTGAGCAG